GGATACATGAATGCGTGCAAAGGATTTGGACTGTTTACGACTTCGTGGGTGGTTGTGGGCGTGGCATCTTCTTTCCCACTCTTCTCTATGACTCCTCGTATTTACCCTCTCACCCAGCGGCCGCTCCCACAGGACCTTCTTGTTAAGTTATTTTTTGTTCGTCTCATCTCGCTTTATGGAATGGTCGGACGGGCAAATATTTACTCACGATTTTGAAAATCTCGTTATCATACTCTCAAAGAGGTCTTAAAGTAGATACGATTAGTGCTTGTAAAACAGTGGGTTCAGTTGATTTGTTTCACACAAATTGTAATACGTGGAAAATATACAGTGCAGATCAACCTTTGGTTTCCATACCGACGTTATTGATTCCTATTTGTCTGGAAATTTTTTCGTATATGTCATACTTTTAAAAAATTAAGAATACTTTACCTCGAAACATTTACGAGTTTAAACAAGTTTTCCAACCAAAAAAGAAGGATGAGATAAAAATGAACTTCTGTCTACTGCAAACTATTAAGGACTTTTTTAAATTTTCGAAAACTTTAATGACAATAAAAAATTTTTTTGTATAAAAGTATATGCAATACTGGTATTAATACAAATCAATGTAATAAAACATTGACATTTATTAGTAGTTAACAGTAATTCTTAACGAGAAGCCAATTAATAAAGAAATTTATCAATTAGCTTCTCGTTAAGTGATAATTTTTAATTTTTCCATACAACATAATGGGGTCCGTAAAATATGGCGGCACTGACAAAAGGTAGAGTCAGACCTCACGCACGCTGCGCGCCTGATAAAGAAATCATCCGCTTTGGATCTAACGACCGGTAAAACTTTACATAAACTTCGTGATTATACACGTTTGTTTCAGTTAACATTTGTTAGTTGGCTTTTTTTAGCTCTCTCCTTTGTTCGATAACTTTTTTTTATTTGAACAAAGCTGATAAAGGAATTGATATACATATATCAATTCCTTTATCAGCCTCATATCGCATCCTTGCCTGTGTATAGATACATATCTATACGCAGGCATGGATGCCAGATTTGAACCCTTAAAGTTTCCAGTTTTCATGGGTTTCGGTAATGTAATAATACATTGAAGAGTAATGATTACCTAAATTATTAATATGACGCATTTTCCATTGGCTGGACAGTTGCACAAAAGCTGAATTTTTTTGCCGTAAATAAGTAATTAATAACCAGGAAAATTATTTAAAAACATCAATAAAAGAGGTTGCCGCTATCTAAATGACTTCTTTACCATACTATAATACATTAAAAAATATTAAGCGTTAATAAGTTTGACTTACTTTTCACGTTTTTTTATTGTCACTTTCATATATATGAAACCTATTTTCATCTATTTTTTTTTTATTTCTGACTTTAAAACCATCACGTAAGTACACGAAGTGGCACCCTGTCTTATAGCATACATTATGATACCCTCAAAGTCACTCATCAGAAACTATACGGTGCAGTTATACTTCACGTTGACTAAAGCAAGTGTTATTAATAGATAATTTAATACGGAACTTTCGTTGGACGGTTCTATATGTACTTGGTTTATTATACGTGAAAATTATTAATATTTTATGATTTTTTGATAATAAAAATATTAATATTTTCTTGGTTGTCCCTTGTTAAGCCTGTTTTAACAAGTCACGACATAACGTAATACAGATAAGTAATACTATGGGCAGGTACCTACCTCTTACGGTAACCGTGCGTCTTAAAAGGGATGACTCAAACTCTACGTATGAATCACAACTTACCACAATATCACTATAACGTTTCATCGATAGGTTGACTATATAAACTAAACAACCTTACATTGTTTACTCGGAAACTGTAACGCCAAATTACAATAAGAAGACAGACCGTAGAAAAGTGAGATTTGAATATCTCAAATAATATGAAATGAAACAATACAAGGCGATAACAACAAAAGCCTATAGTACCGAGTACAGGAGCGCTGTTTTTAGTGCCGCTGGCGCTTGCGGGACAATGGCGATTATCTAATGTGCAGACAAAATCCAAACAGACCCCTTCGACATTATACTGCTGCGGAAAAAAAATTGACAACGTCAGTAAGGGAAAGTTAACAGGTAGACAAAAGGCGGTTGCCAAAAGATTCCGAGATAACACAACACGTAGTTTGTGAAATATGCGCCATACCATACGGTACTTTATGGTTATTTGGACGCGTTACGCATTACTTGTAAGACAATTGTTTGGTTACTGTTACTTTTTTGTGTTTCGTAATGACGTCGTTTCGTTTGCATTGTGCGTCTTCCCGAAAATCCTGCTCCCGGTGGAAAGGATTTTCACAAAAATGTAACAACAATAAATATTTTAATTTAATACAATTTAAATTATGTTTCTAAGAATGACTATACATGATTTTCAACATATGTTGAATATAAGTACCTAAGCTATAAAAAAGTAAGAACTCTTAATAAAAAACATAACTTTGACAATTGAAATGTTGTTAAAATACATGACACAGATCGTCTATGGGCCAGTATGTAATGTGTGATTTGTTGTTACAGAGTTGTATCCCAATGGCCTGTGGTAAATGAGTTCATAGTGTTTCCGTTTTTAGGCGCGCAAAAATAATCGGCGCGCAAGTTACATTTATGTCCAATTTATCTCTGATGTAGCTGCATCTATTAAAAAACAACGATAAGGGCCTCACGTGTATGTTTACAAATATTTCGCACGTAGCACATCGACTTCGGTAAAATATTTTATGTAGCTATACAATAATGTACACGTCTGATTGTACCACGAAAGGAAAAACGCTCCTGTAAGCTATTAGTAAATCTTCTTTCTCCTGCCCACCTAGCCGGGCTCGGTACAAGATGTGAAACATGTTGTTTACCTAATGGTATTAGCTAAGTTTTTTTTACTATAGTCCGCCAGCCTGACATGAACTAACTTCTGCAACAATTATCTGTGGGTCACACAAATATTTTTCCCGTGTGAGAATCGAATCTGGGACCCGGTGCCATGGCCAATAGTTTAGCCACTGCGCCATTGAATCTGCAGCGAATCGGTATAAAAATTTCGCCAACACAAAATCAGTAAAATGGGGTCCGATCCCTGCTACCGCCTTATTTACGTTTTGTGTGATAGCTTCTCTTACACAAAACGCGTAGAAAATAGCCGAGTGAAACATAAATCGTCTACATGCCATGGGGATGACGCACGATAGTTAAACTAATAGCGTCGATGCGAGCACCGAAGCGTGCAAAGGAGTGATGGCGCTAATGTTCTATTTTGCCTCGTACATTCCCTTTTGTGTCCAAGTTAGCGCCACCATAAAAAAAGCACCGACGGAAGTAAACCCACAAAGCGAATGCCAAGGAGCAAAAACGCCGAACCGAAAAAAAAGATGCATAACGCAGTCGTGAAGCGGTGTGGGCCAGGCCGCTCTTGTAAAATTTACAACAGCTCTATTTTGTTTACCTGCTTGACTCCGCTTCAAATTGTCCTATAATTGGAGGCATTTGACGATGAGTTATTAATTTATTGACCGTAGTTTCGCCTCGGTTTTTATGGAAGTGCTAAAACGTCCTTCAGTCAACGCATACTTGTGCAAGGTTGGTCATTCGTTTGGCTTTCCATGTAAAAAAGAATCAACATTTTTATGCGCATATACATATTGGTACATACCACTACGTTAGTGAATTTTTGAAGTATTAAATAAAGTTATTGAAACGATAAAAACCATTCAATGTAAAAAAATGTGTCATTGGTATTACTTTATTTATGCATTGTTCTTAATAAATCTTAAGTTTATATATCTTAAATAAAATTTAAAGAATAAAAATAACGAAAACGACGTTTTATCCTTGTAGACCAGTGTAGACCTAGTTTCTAGGTGACAAGTTTAAACTAGTGGTACGCTAGAGGGTAACTGGTGATAATTTTTAGGTTTTAACTAACTTTTATCAGAGTTAATTTTCAGTCGAGATAAGAAAAGGTTTTTTTGATTATTGGAGCGCATTGACTATCATAACTTCGAAATATCCTTTCATTTACACGTTTTCAGACGTCTCTGCATGGTAATTCCTTCGCAAGTCAGTAGTCAGTAGTATTGTACGTAATAAGAAGTCGCATGTTGTCCCTATTGGCGTAGTGGAACGAAACTGTCTCTTGTGCCAGAGTGCGGGGGTTCGATCCCCACTATAGAAAAAATATTGGGTGATGAACATAGAGCGTCATAGTGTCTTGGTGTTATTCATATTTCAATAGTATGTATTTATTTACAAAAGCAAAAGCATATTATCAGTTACCGAATACCGATAGTACAAGCTTTGCTTAGTTTGTACATAACATTGTGTAAAAATATGTCCTGAGAATATTTATTTATTTTATTATATATTTATTTTATACCCTGTTAAAATGAAATGCTGTTTGGGTTTGAATCTCCAGGCTTCCATGTCGCACGCGCAATACATGTGCTCAACATGGGATCGAGTAAAGACACATATCAATTCCATTACCGTTACTACTAACGAATTCGATATCTTGCTTATTAAAATATTATTAAATTTAGTTACGTTTCCATGCGAGTCATACTTAACTCTCATAGGTTACAGGGAACCTTTCGACATTTTTGGTTGCCTTTTTATTATTATCTAATCAAACAATAACACAATTTTCTGGCTTAATTAATGGCTTAATATGAACATCCGCAAATTATTTTCATACACACTAATAACTGAAAAACTATTTGGTTTTGCTTTACAATAGACATTTATGAGAAGTCATGAATGCATCGACCTTACCGAAAGTAACAAAACATACTTCCGAACCGCCTATCAACGCGGCAGTGTTTCTTTTGGAATTCGTGCCTCCACTAAATGATTGTTGTCTTTGTATTCCTTTTCATGCCGCGTTTCGAATCGAAACGTTAAAACATTATTATGACTTCTATATCACGTCGCCGCTTTAGGGTCAGTGGAAGCTGTCTTTGTAAACATAGTCGATGGGAAATCGAAAGCGGTAAGTAGTTGTAATGTTCCTGTCATTTTTTTTATTTTGGGCTGTAAACACTAAAAGGTCTTGTGTTTAGGGATTGACATTAGGATATTATACTATAGACATTAGAGCTCAGTGTCCGGGCGCTCGCCTTTAATTCAATATACTCGAGCAACCTGAGTTCGATCCCCGGTGCCGGCACCAATAAAGTTTTTAACTTTAAGTGCTGATTTATTACGTGCTCCGCGGTGAAGGAAAACATCGCTGCATGTTTTCGAAATAATAACAAAAGAACAATATTTTGAAGATAAGTGAAGTCCGCCAATCCGCAGTGGGGCCGCCTAGTGGACTATGCCCTGATACCCTCTGTATAGCGGAGGCCTTTGCCCAGCAGTGGGACATGTATAAGCTGTTACTTTACTTTTTTACTACTATAGACATTATAGACCATAAAAACATAATGAAAAACTAAGCACAAAAAGCCTAATGAATTTGCACCTACACTTCTTGCTTTTTATTTAAGCGAAAAAATCGGATAATACAATATTTGGTGGATATATTTTATCGTAGGCAATTTACCTGACGTTAATTTGAGAAAAATATGTATGGTTAATAACTTGAGTTTTAAATAAAATCAAATATTTACTTTAAGTCTTAATTAAACACGATGGTTACATACAACATGCTTACCGCAAGCAATAAGGACAAACAAAATGCTGTCGCCCAGTTGTCTCGTACGAGGCGGTACCGGCTTGCAAATCGTTAAAATACCTAAACTGCTTATCACAGATTTACGTTGACATTCGCCAACGCCGCTCCGTCTGCTTGGGCCGCCAAACTTCACCGTTGCGACGCAGCAATGAAACTGCGACATGGCGAAGCCGACGTCTAAGACGCGGTGGACAAATTCATGTTCCTCAAGGCACCTGTACACCGATGTGCCATTTACATTGTAATGCTTGCATACAACCTGTTCGATTAGGATGGGAATGCCGTCCACATACTTAGCGTCGCGCCCTCAAGCGGGAACCATTGTCATCCGTCACGTTGCGAGCCTTCGAATTTAAACGAAACTGGCGAGATCGACACGCTGTTTGTAAAGCGTACGGCATAATTACTTCCACGGGTAACATCGGAGCGCGTTGATCCGCAGCGCAATTACAAACTTAAGTCGCCATTGGCCGATCGCCATCGATATTTACGCTTTAACGGTTTCGCGGGGAACGCGGCGTTGGGATTACGAAAATGTGTGATTGATTCCCGGAGGGGGGACAGGGGGTGGGGGGGGGTGGGGTGCGCAAGCGGCAGTGACCGCGGGGGCCAGGTGCGTGCGGCCATCGACACCATAAAATTAATAACCAGTCGAGCCTCCCAACCAATGCACTTGGTCTCATGCGCGCTTCACACATGGTGCGTTGGTGACGCGCGCTTTCAAAAAACTATTAGTGATCACGCAAAAGCGAGAACAAATACTCATTTAGACGGGTAGCGGTGGTAAATATTTTCATTGGCGATCCGGTTTATCGCGGCGCATTGTACTCAGGGCATTTTTGGGTGTTTGAAATCAAACAGACATCTGAATTACATTAGTTTTTAAGGCGTTCCTATTGTTCGTGAATGCTTACTTACATTATACTTATTCCATTCGACCGTCCGTGTCTCACCTACACGAGATAGTGGAAAAGTACCATACATGTTGAATTTATAATTTTTATCTGAATTATTGATGACGCTACGAAACCTAAGCTCGTAAAATATAGTGTCGAAATCAGTAGTTTTTATTTACCAATTAGGTTATAATCTAAGCATCTAACGCGTGTCTTAGAGCTAAAATAAAAGGAATTAATTTTTAAGCCCTCTAACGTGTTAGGTTTTTTTACGATAACTTTAACTAAATTAGTAAAAATATACACTTGAAAATTCATTTAAAATCCCCAAATTGAATTATCATAAATCAGTACTTTTAACGCAATAATATGCCCCATTGAGATGATCCGTATTTAATGGCGGTTAGGGCAGGCCGCGAAGAGACGAGCTCTCGGAACTTTGGCGGGTGTGATGAGGGGTGAGGAGGGGTGAGGAACGTACGCCGCCGAGACGGTGAGTCTGCCTGATAAAGGAGGATTTTATCCGCTCGATTTAGCATGAAATTGGAACACAAAGTGAATAAAGCCACAAGATTGTAAACATTATGAGGTTCCTCTTTTTTATTGCGGGCTTTCGGCTTATTTACGGTCTCCTTTTTATTGATCGCCAGCGAGCTGGTTCTCGGCCCGTATTTATTACCTTGTTAACTCTAGTTAACGAACTGAAAACTCCGTACCAATCCGGTGATCACATTGCGCTTAATTGGGGAATTTATCGCTTCACTTCGGCAATGCTTAATTGATTCGAAATGCGAAATGTTAAGTTGCCGCCGACGTCGGCGAAATTCATCGGCCGAAATGAATCGAAGCGGTGGGAGCCAAAAAAAAAAAACAAGGAATCAAACTCTCAGTTCACGCGCAAGTGACTATTGAAGGAACGAAATAAAATTCGGTCGCGGTGTAAATCATGAGAGTGTTCCGTTCCCACGCGGGCGCGGTGTGACCAGAATGAATGACTCACTGAACTCGAAGCTCCACTCTCCATTTCCACAAGTCATAGTGCAATTAATAATATACGGCGTCCTGTCGAATTATCTCCCGCCGTGGCAGGGGTCCGGGCGGCTTTAATTTACCACAATGGGAGTCGGTTCCGAGAAGCGTTCGGCGGCGAGGCGGGCCGATTCCCCGACGAAAACAAACAGAAAATAATTATCATAAAGATGAAGAGCGGCCGCTCGGAGCGCTCCGCTGCTAATGGGGGCCCACCTGGCAGCCGAACCTCGCGCCCTCACACATACGCACCAGGCACCCAAGACACGGACGCCAACGCATTCCATCAGACCTAAGCCATCCGCCGCGCTCGCCGGCCGCGTAAGCGCATGATTGATTTTTAATACGGCCGCTTGTGTACACCGACTTTACGAACGCCTCTTAGGTGTTAATAGGTTTCTGTGAGCGGATAATTTTTTTGGTGAAAACACGGCCCCATTAACCTATCTTTTTTCTATCATATGCATTACCGTTTTTTTCTTCATAGTGACTTCAGGTCTGACCACACTTCAGCAAATACTCTAAATGATATGGTAGAGCGACTTCTTTAGCATTGACAGCCACACTATCGCACTTTTCCTTTTACTTTCGTTGTACTCTCCGCAGATGTTGGCAAGATTTAAATTTTCGACTTCCGCGTATACGTATTTTTTTTAAACCAATTAGTGTGAGCTACGTGGTTGAATCGAGTCTCGGAAAGGATTCACGAATCGCGGCCGGACTTCTCGGCACACAACTTTGCAATAAAAGCTATACAACAGTATTCACAAAACGAAAAATAATTCTTAAACCATCCGGGACAGTGACCACGCAACATTGTTGAACACATTAAAATGAGATAAATGCGGCCGGTGATCATCTCACAGGCGGTGGGTAGCATATCGAAGATTTATATAAATATACAAGTTCGTGTATGAATCCGTTCTCTTATACAAGTCAGTGTATCTGGTAGTGTAGGTCATGTACTGGATATTTTTATCGTTATTTGGCCCCTTTATCCACGCCAACGGAGACTGGGCGGCGCGGCGTAGGCGCGACTCTGTTCTGGATTCACTTACATCTGAAAAACAACCTGACGTCTGCTGTTATCTTATTTGTAATAGAAGAGCAACATTTATTTGCACAAGAACACGTGGGAATGCAGTTTAGTTTATTTTGATACGCCTAAGATTTTAGACCGTAAGGTTGAATGATAATGTAATAGCGTTGAGCTTTCATCGTTAACACAGTTTTTGCATTGGCTGAATCGGCCAAATCTGTGCTAATGACGAATTTGCACAAGGTTTTATGATGTACTAATTATTTTCAATCTAATGCTAAAAGTATATAGAGAGTTTTTTTAAATAATATTTTAGCTACATTTTTTATATAAAAGTGAATTTATGTAGCGGCCTAGATATGTCTCACTGCTGGGTAAAGGCCTCCTCAGTACAGAGGGCATAGTCCACCATGCGGCTTCACTGCGAATTGGTGGACTTCACTTATCTACAATTTTTTTTTGTTGTTATTTCTATAACATGCAGGTTCCTCACTATGTTTGTGTTTCCTCACTCGGTGAGCACCTGCTAATTCATCACTTAAAATTAACAATTTCATTGGTGTCGGCACCGGGGATCAACCATTTTTCATATACGTATAATAAATTCTTCTTAAATGTTGCGGAAACAGAAGCTGAAACGGATGTAATGCATTGCGTGCAGAACTTTCGCAGTTACGGAAAACAAAAGCAGAGGTCTGTTGCATGGCTAATTCAAATGCTTTGAATGGTCTTAATCTTAAGAACCAAACATTCTTAAATTTGAACATAAAATAAAGATAGCGACATCTCTCATAGAAAAATATAGGACTTGACAAATAGCATTCTCAAATTTCATTATAAAGCTTAAATAACTCGATTATAGGCGTGGGGTCAGAATGCTATGTCAACTGCAAAAAAACTGATAATAAGCTGCATTAAAAAGTATCAACTGCCAAAATTTTATGTTTATAACTTTAGTTTATAAGCTTCTATTTTGTTATACGGAAAGTGTCTTTACCGGATCTAAGCTTTCATATATTTAGTAGTATGCCCGCAACTTCATCCTAATGGATCTATAGAATTAAAATGACAACTCAAGCGACATATACTCACAATAAATAATTATATTTATAGCTTTCAGGAGCTACAGAATAACGGAATGAAACATACAAATAACTTCAGATTAAATCTTTGTGTACCCATTGGAGTCCTCGAGGAAAACTTTCAGGCAAGCACACATATATTCTGAAGTTGAGTCATGATAATAAATCGCATAGATTGCAGCTTTTATTTAAAGGACAATGGCCGGTTCCCATACATGATTTTAGTTGGGACAAAATTTTAGCGTTTGTAGGTCAAAAATATCATAAAATATTCATTACTTGCTCTACAATTACGCATACAATTTTCAGCAACACTGATGAAAGTTTTTGTAGTTTTCTCAACTTTTGGCGTGTTTGAAAAAAAAAAACATGAGTAAAACTTTTACGATGCGCGCGCACTCAGACAGTCAAAAAGCGACATGGTGAAATGGGTTGAAAAGAGACGTAGTTCGACCAACTTCACGGTATCACTATGGCAACCTTTCGACATTTACCGACAATTCCAAGTTATTTATTTAAACCATTATCAATTGCATTTATCGTTTTTTTTTTTTTTCACATACAAAGAATTCAGGCCCAGGAGATACATTTTTTAGTTATTTTTCTTTTATTACGCAAAAGAAGTAGTATAACTTCTTACATGGTTACATAAGTACACACATAATCCCTTTTTATTTGTATCTAAAAGCGTAATCTCGATATAAACCTTTAGATATATTTATAAATGACAGGGTTTCATAAAAACCTCACCTTCCTTCTCTTGTCGTGTCTTTTGAGAGTGCAAATTTGCATTATGTAACTTGTAAAAATATGTATGCCAAGTATCGAGCATGGCGAGGATGGTCAGAAATTACGCGAGAACTAGCAACAGTTTTATAGAATAAAAGGCATAGTCGTGCCCAATCCTGAAGTTAATGGTATTGGCTGGATTTTTTTCGACCGCCTGCCTGGGCTAACGCGAACCCTCCTTGGAAACTAACAACCAGATTCGAGACAATTATAACACTTAAAGGTGTCCAGACGTAGACGTAGACGATAGTACAGTAACAGATATAATCGTACACGATTTACGAATGCTAATACGCAATCGCCCCTAAAAAAACATTAGTACTTTCACCGGTCCTTCTGTAAAATATATATCAGCAATGTTCACATACATTCACGTAAGCACACATTTTCACATACTATATTCTTAAAGAGATCACAAATTGAATAAAATAAATGACGCGAGTTCCATGATTTCTGTTCACCCAAAAAGTGTTCAACGCGCCTGAAGAATTTTTCACTTCAAAAAAGTTCATACCTTACGGTAACTTGCCTAACTTAAAGGTGGCCATCCGTCTTATCTGAAGAATGTAGATTTATCTACAAAGGGATGTTTGCGGTACACTGTCTTGAGAAATTCCTAAACATTTTTGCATGGTCCCCTTCTTAAAATTTATTACTTATTTACATTTATCTATAGCAATAACATATGGTTGGTAACATTACATCTGAATCCTGATCGCCCCCAAAGAACTCATAATAATTATAACTCAAAATACAGACAATATATAACTGTGTAACATTCTTAGCAATGTTACAGTTGAAAGTTTTTAAGCTGTTTCTTTGTACGTTTTATTAAATTCCGTTGTTACGTTCACAATTTTCTTATTTTCGCTTTTACTAAATACTTTTAAGTGTCTTCCAAGAACAGCACAGTTCGCTTGCATTCTATCCAAGAGTACGAGCATGTGTATAAACTAAAAACCGCTTATGCATAATGCTGAGTACTAGCATAATGGCATCACAGTTCATTCAATGAAAACAAAGTCAGCTTAACCTTCAATTGTTTTCACCAACAAAGTGATTACCGGCAGAGAAACTGAAAAGGGAGCCAGCGGCGACGCCAACGCCCGACAAAAATGTCAGCTATGCCAATTGGTGCCCAGATTACACTAGCGACGAAACTCACTAACGAATCGCACTTTTCAGCGATAACTTTGTGTTGTCAACCATTTAACACTGCCACCGTTATCGAACTGTGAAGGCGGGAGATAAAGCGCTTTGACCAATTCCAACGAAAGCCCGTCTCAATGACGGAATATATTGTTTTACCTTACCTTTTTCCGATGCCGAACATTTCGGAGCGGTTTTTGCGGAGACACGGCCTGGTATCGCTCGGTGGTCCATTAGAAGTGGAACAATGGGCCACACAGTCTATATTACCCACTTTATCTAACTTCGGACGCAGATTATGTGATATCCGTCGGTCTCCTTTTCAACTTTGAATAACGACGTGTGGTCATTAAACTAAAGCTGTTTCGAAATATTTAAGTGGCCTTTTATAATGCGCATTGTCAACACAGGAGCGTCTTAGTTCATACAGTACTTTATGGGTACGACTTTGAAAGTAAAAGGAATTCGCATTCTAATATATTAACCGTTATTCGTTTTAGACATTATGTTTCATGTTTCACATGGAATTATTCATATCTACTATATAGATAAGCTTGACAAGGCCGTTTAGACTAAGCACTCAAAACTGTCTTTAATTTGTCAAACATCGAGTGAAAACTTGCAGTTATTTTTATGACCAAAGATAAAAACTTGAAATAAAAATAATTCTTAAAAATACTTTTATTCCTGCATACAACTGTTACTGTTATGTCATTTCCATTTTAAAGGAAACGTAACGTTAAGTTCAAGCAACATAATAACTTAAGCAACTCCCTTTTACCCCCACTCCTATTGAATTAATTCAATAGAAACAACTCACGACTTCATTAATTACCAAATGTGGGCACCCTCTTAACTGTTGATACTCTCAAAGAATCCCCGCATTCCCGAGTCATCCATGAAATTGGAGAATGTGGGGACGGAATTATTATGTGTGCTAAGAATTTTATCAATTATGATACTTTGGAACCGCAGGTGGTGACCCCCGCCGAGATACTACGCCGGGCTAAATTAATACAGAAAGGGGCTAAGGTTCTCACAAGCACATCCAATTTTACTGTTATTATTTTATAAGTTACTTTCTTACTTCGGATAAATTTATTATTTCTAAGAGGGGCAGATATCTACGGCTACAGTTTCTTCATTTTTTTCAATATTGTTTTACTAAGGAAAGATAATACTTAATTATTTTTACATTTACACGAAAAAATTGTGAAATGATATAAACACCTTG